GATTCTCCTGCAACAATTGTCGTAATCGGTTATTTAAATGACTTTTGCAAAGAAAAATATTCGAAATTCTGTTATTTCAGCGGATTTTTTAAACAAATATTATTTTAATCGATTACTTCAAACATGTTTTCTACGCGTTTTAATTGTAAAGAATAACAATATTATTAATTGTAATTAAATAAAATAAGTTCGTTGACATTTCGACTGTTTGTCACAATACAATTATTATGATAATTTATTTATTTAAAACCACTTTTAATGTTCTAAAACATTAATCTTATTGATGTTACTAAAGCAACAAATATTCTATTTTTCTACAACAGACAGGATTGACAAAACAAAGTTTATTTTTCATGAAATATTCAGCAATAAAAATCTACTATAATTTTAAAGCTTATTACAATAACAGGATAGTATTTTTGACTCTTGGTAATTATTAATATAGAAAAATAAAAAGTTTGGCTTTTAAATTTTTCAAAGAAATTTCCCTATAAAAAAGTTTATCTCTTATGAATTGTTACCAGAATACTAAAAGGCATAAAATGCTAAAATAATAATTAAATATTTAAATCTCTTAATTTTATTACGAAAGAGAAGAAGAGTCGAATATTTATTTAATTAAATTTTAATACGTTTCTACGTTTCAAATGCTAACATACTAGTCTAGTACGAATGTATATCATGGGAATAAAAAACGATTTAAACTGAAAACAAATAGTAAAAAAATAAAATAGAAATTTCCAAGAATTCTCTTAGATTATATATATAATTTTTTTTTTTTTCGTCTTCTAAATATTTACAAAAATTGGATTTTGATTGATAATTTATTAGGATGGCAACACAATTCGGTCCTTTTTTTGTTTGTGTTTCTCTTGTATGATGTTCTTAATGTACTTCTTTGTCCTGAGTATGGATGTTTGCAGTCTTGCTTTTACTACTTTTTTTCTATTATCTGAAAGTAACTCGCCCTTAGGCTGATACAGATAAGAAACATCACAGATTATTTTCTAGAATTAAACCAAATAAAATATTTATATGAATTTTTTCTGCTTTTAATCAATATACTGTATATATATATATATATATATATATGAATTATCGAAGAAACAATAAATACA